AGAATGCTTGTGGACCTAATTATATTAGAGAAGAATTTCTCAGCATGCTCTGTACTGAATGGTAATCACAATCATCAAAGTCTGTGGTTAGCAAAGCTTCATGTCAATCAGGGCCCCGGAGTATATTTGTAGGTATTGGTGGTATGTGTTTGTTATCTCTACCCGCCTTTCGAGGAAGTGGTAACGGCATCAATTTTGCAAAAGTCCATATTTGAGCTACCCAAAACAGTGCAAGAGCAGTGCTGATCACCAAATCGCATGTGATGTTATCACACCCAATTATTAGCGGTGCAGTCAGCACATAACACACATGTACATGTAGGTAATGAATCTAAAGGCCAGGCCCTTCTTTCACAAGGCTGTGAAACTGGCATGTGATGCTGTGAAATGGGCATGTGACGCTCCCTGCTAAAGACCAAATGGCTGGTCTGCATAATGCCTATCGGTTGGATAAGTTGTTTATATCTGGAGGGGAGGGGAAGATTTTGAAAACTTATTTTCTGAATAACAATAATAATAATAAGGCCACAGAATTCATTGTCATGCACAATATGGCACTGAAGAACAACACTTAAGCGAACCTGTTTGTTTACATACATATAGAACTGATTGTATGAAATCAAATTTATCACGTGCAATTACAATTGTAAGCCCTATACAATTTCATATATATGTATCTTTGGTGAATACAGAAGTGAAACAAATTAGACGTCACAAAACATAATGCGCTGAGATTGAAATGTGCTCTACTGTTGAGTATTCGCAACCAGAAGATTTGATCTGATGTCACCAAGTTTGCATTCATGTTCACTTTCATGCCCAAAACTGGTTTACAGGTGTATAAACTGGCCTTTAAACCTGCGTCATGTACATGTACATGTTGGAGCTGGCACTGCTCAGACACCGGTATACTGTACATGTACATTCATATACAGTACATATATATACGTTGTACATGGAGAACTCTGCGATACGTGTGTTTGTGCACATTCACTTGCATCAAGGTGCATGTTAACATGCACAGGGTATTGAAGCAATGCCGTGACTGTACATGTACGGTACACTGTATGAGCATAGCTGCATACATGTACATGTACACGTTCAGTTGTACATGTATATACATTTATTCAATTAGGGAAGACAGGGTAACCGGTAGCTGCAGCACATAATGAGTGAATTGGACTCGGTGTGGAAAATAAATGTAATGTGTCCCTGCAATGCATGCGGAGTCATGTACATGTAGACACCGATACTGTGCACTTGTGCTTTTAAGTAGTGCCGCTAAGCAAGATTATCCCTTTCACAAATTTCAGTTACATGTAGCTACTGGTGCATTAAATGTACCAAAATTATTGGTATACGTACATCAATCACTCATATTGGTTTGGGAAAATAATCATTTCATTATATTTGAAGTTAATTAATGGTTAATATTAACTGAAATTCCAGTACTAGTATTTAGAATCAATATCATTTGGGAGAAATAGTCATTCAACTATATAATGAAAGTTAAAAAACTGAAAGTATCAACTGAAATTACAGTATTTAGAGTCAATATCAAAAAATTATGTAAACACGATAAACTACAGAATATTTGTTTACCAACTGACATTACAATATTAGAATCCATTAATGGTCAGTGTAAATTGACAACAACTGCAGAAATGTGTCAAGAATTTATGAAATTAGCCTGTACTTGTTATTTCCAGTTCCTGACATTTTCCAGTAAAGGGATGGATCTAGTGACGATAACAAAATATACCAGTACATGTCGTCTCTTTCCGATTCCCAAGATGCCCTGCTACAATTAATGTCGAAATATTTATCATCATTAAAAATTTGAAAAAAGTTTACATAAACTACTTTGAATAGAGCAGTGGAGTTTACCTTTAATAATAACTATATGTAATTTGATTTACATGTAATCTACAGTAAGTACATACTGGTAGGTACGTATCGTACATGTACAGGTACCCGTGATCTGGTATCCATTTCATGTTCATTAGGTGAATGTACAGGTATACTGTACAGTCATCATTGTAGCAATAGTTGTTACTGTAAAAGCCCCCCAAATCCATGTATACAGGCATATTTATTTTGTAAATATCGCAGTACATGTACATGCATCTGTCTGTTGAGGAGTGCTTTAAAATTGATGCTGTGAGTAAGCAATGAGATTCATCATTGTTTTTTTTTTCACATTGTACATTTCTTTTGTTGTTGTTGTTGTTGTTTACTCTTGCTCTGTGCTTTGTTTTATTGCAGTCGTATAAATAAATAATAATAATTTCATTTTGCACTGTGTTCTGTTTTGAGATGTACGGTACATGTACATGTAGTTCACAAAATAACTACTGTTAAATATTTTCATGAGTTTTTTCTTATCATGCAAGACAATCATGATGTCTTAGTTCTTGATGAATGCAAACAAATTAATTCTGCCTATCACTGTGTGTGTGGGTGCCGAGAGCTGATAATGTAGAGCCCAACATTACAAGGGGGATAGTTTATCCTGCCAGTGAGACAATGAAGCACTTGGACAAAAATCTGGCAACAGCTTGCCTGAAATGAGCATGGTGTTTGCTTGTCATGCAATGTGATGTAATAATCAGCAGGTAACATTTTGGAAGGGGTATTGTGGCAGTCTGTATACAGTAGATAGTGATCAGCTGAAGGTGATCTTTTATAAAGATCAGATGATTGTTCCCAAAATTCCTGCCCAAAAATTCAACGTGAATGTACATGTACCTTTGATGTTCCTCTTGTTTTGTTGTAGGATCCACTGCACCCAACTTATGCCGAAGTCTACATGCGGTTATACAAATTTATATAACATGCTTTGAGAATGGAAAGGTGATACATTTATAAGCTAATGTGAGGGAGAGCTTCACCCTGTTCAGGAGTCCTTCAACTTTGAACATGGCAGGAAGCTGTACATGTACGTACAGGTACATGTAATATCAGCCAGCCATCCTCAGACCACACTATGAAATTACTCGCCTGGTCTGTGCTCATTAGGCCTGGCTCCAGGTACTCATAAATATGATCACTTCTAATCGAGCCTTTAATTATCCAGGGTTCTTGTATTTCTTTTACAAGTACACATACATGCACAGTATGCATTGAATGCATACACCAAGGCCACGTCAGAAACGGGACACCAGAGCCATGACTACATGTGCCTACAGTTACATGTACACCCCCCCATCTGTTCCCAGTGTGTTTCCATGTATTGCCAGTGGACAGAGACCAAAACATACACGTTGTAGGTACCGATACTGATAACTCCAGACCAAAGTTTCAGATGCAGCCTTAAATGGGTACTTAGTGTCTTTTTGGATGAGCATGGTGGCTTTACCACATTACTGTAGCACATTTATCCCCACATTATGTGTATGTATATGTATGCTTCGATATGTGAACATGTGGCGGTATGTACGTGTACATGTACAGTACTGTGTACATGTGAACATGTACCAGGGATGCATGTACATGTACATGTACGTATTTATGTACATGTACCATTACTGTAACAAACATCCATCACATGTACCGGTGTACCATGTAACAATTGAATACTTTCGCCTCCATGTACATGTTCATACATGTACTGTGGTGTACATACAAATTACAATGTACATGTACATGTACACTGTACATCATGTACCTTGCACTTGTACATGTACATGCCGATTCTGGTATTCCAACCTCATCAGGAAATTGTGCATTTCCTAGTTCCTGGACTGTTGGTCAAACAAAGAGCCAATTTTTGGGGGGGAGAAGGATGTGCTACAGGCAGGACACTGGGTTTTGTTTTTGCTCTCCACCCCGGTAATCTTCACAGTTCATACACACAATGTGCGTTGATTAATCGCCCATATTTGGAGGTCAAGGATGTACATGTGGCAGGCACAGAAGCCACTAATAAGCTGAGTATATCATGGCTTCCTATTCAGTCTACTGCAAGATATCAACATGTATTGGTATTCTTGTTTCAAGCTTTTTGGTTTTTCTCTCTTTTTTATGGAGGGCGGATGGTGTTTTCCCATATCTACAACATGTATGCAGGTGCATGTTCTGCTGTATTTTACAAGTTTGATTGCCAGTAGTTTGGGTGGGTGGCATTTTCAAAAGCATGTATCGGGAGTACTGTACTGTGAAGTGGCACTGTACTTTAGATGTTGCATTTGAAATACCAAAAATGAGTATCTGGGAATACTACATATACCGGTAGTATCTCCTTTGATCAAACCAGGGATTTGGTATATGTCTCCCCCCCCCCAGTAACTGCAGATTTTTGCATCCCTGTTGTACAAAGTTGTTGTGGATCTGCATACATGGTACATGTACATGTATACCAATACACCTTAACATAGAACTAAAAATATGATGACTCACACATGTTTGCTCAAAATGTTAAAAAGGAATGTGAGGACGTGAGAGCAGTCTTGAGAAAAACTGAAAATCCATGTAACGGAGGCGTGGGACATTGTGAGAAGGTCTTGTGCTGTTAGGAAAGCGTGGTTACTTGAGCACCCGTCCTGACACGATATAAATGTATATCGCAAACCACAGTAATCAAGTTATGGAATTCGGTGCCTCTGAACACCTAGAGGAAGATTACTCAATAACTATTCAGATAAAGGAAACGAGAGGTTTGAAAGGCTTTTGTGGGGAACTTTTTGAAATAAAACTCAAGCTGTATGTATTGAATGCTCAAGCAGGTTTGTTACATTTTCGTCCAGCGTTTGGATAAGACAGATTTTTGGGCAAGTGAATGCATTTTTTGTCAACTTTTTTTTTTTCTCTTTGATATAAATGTGGGGCTGAGGTTTGCTTTGACAGTGCATGAGTTTCGTTGCATCACAGTACCCAATGTCTACATTTCCTGTATATGCACACCATTAAATGTCCTGCGCCTGGGGGCCAAGACAATTAAGATAAGATTTCCACTTCAACACTTACATTTTCCTCCCTGTTTCTGTTCTTTTTGTCGCCAGATTGACCTTGAACCGTCTGGGAAAGTCCATGTTGTCATTGAACTCAAGGGATCATCTGAAGGTAAGAGTGTATTGCATATAGGTTGTACATGTACGGTGAATGTTAAGTGATCATTATTATTTTTTTGGTGTGTGTGTGTGTGGAGGGTATTAAGGGATTGGGGAATTCCATCTCTACAGGCATGTTACTTGTTTTGTTACACAAAGTGCATGACACTTAAAAAAAACCAACACTTTGGCAGCATATACAGTTTTCTTTTGGAGGGGAGGGGTAGACTACATGTGAACTGTTTGGAGAAAGGCACTGTAGCTGGTCAGTTTGGAATGATCGTCAGATTTTGGGGGCTTTTAAAACGTTTATAAAGGTTACTGGTACAAAAGACAGTAAAGTGATTTTTGGAGAAACTGTTGATTTCTGATAAAGAAAAGGTGAAGTGTGGGTTTAGTTTGCTTCCTGTGTTGCTGAATTAGTTTCCTTTGTGTATTCGTTTTCCTATTGCAATTGATATCCGAAGGCCTGCTCAAGATCTTAATTGGGTGGTGTTTGCGTCATCCTAATGTGTGTGTACACCTGTGCTATTAGGTACAGTACATGTACAAGTAAGGGGTCCAAACAGACTTTAGACTTGGACATTGCCAGTACGTGATTCGTGACTCAAATTTCTTGTTGAAGATCCGAGACTTGAGCTTTGACACCGTGGATTATTTGTTGCCCTGCCATTTTGCTGTCACAGAGTAATTTTGTTTTGTCTACACATCCCAGACAGTGGAGGGTAAAAAGAAACATCAAGTACCGGTAAAATCCATTTAGGTTTACGTTGGTACTGTACCGGTGTGTATGTGATCCTCACTTTGCCCAAGACGAGGGCTGATTACGGTGAAACTGCAATCTGTCAGTGTTTGAGCTGCGGCCTTATTCGTGCGCACGTACCCTGTGTGGTGAACCCATGTGGTGTGCATGTCAGGGTACATGTACAGTGGTATATCCCATAATGCCATTTCAACCCCTACTCTGTGTAATGCTAGAAAACGCCTCAAAATCTGTGAATGTGATATGCAAGGTCAGTGGCCTGCAGCAGAGCCAAGGTTAGAAATGTGCACGTGTGCAGTTCATTGCCACCATATTTTTGAATGTATGTACATGTACATCCATACCGTACATGTGTACATGTACCTACATACATGTACATGTACAGGTACCCGTATGTAAAAAAATACCTTAAATGTAAGACCACCCATACGAGTACTTGTTCCATAATGGTGGGACTACCCACATACAGTACAGGCAAATGTTGTGAGGACGTATTTTTTCCCTTCACAACTTGGCCTGAACTTTCCTAACAAAAGAAATTGCCCTCTTCCCCCCCTCTCCCGCCTGCAGTAATGGCCTGTGTAAGAGTCTTCATACCTAGGTGTATGCATGGCCCATTTGGCAAAAGGGACCTTTTTCTCAATTGGGATGGAATACAGTCGTACTTTCACACCTGTTACTGTGTGGATGAAAAAAAAAAGCACTATGGAAAGCAGTGACTCACAGTAACCCTTTCATGAGAGTTAAATTTCATAACGTACACGTACCGGTATCTTGCATTGATATGTACATGTACGCCCTGTAAGCTTACAAGCTAGTGAAGTACCCCAAAGGTTGTTGAGAGATCCTCAACAAGAATCTTGTTTCTTTATTTTAGACACATTTCCGGTCTCTTCCCTAAGTTCCAGACATCATGCAGACACACCGGCAAATACGGTACAATGAAAGATTGTTATCTGAATCTGTAAGACCGGTACGTTGTAATTGAAAATGCAATAGGACAGGTGGTAGCACTAATTGAAACCAACTGGTGTATTTGTTACCAGCCATTATGAATTCACGCGCTTTCATGCACATGGGTTCAGTGTATTTTTTTCTTAAATGCAATTTTCTGATCATGTACGTACTGGTTCCACACTTACTCACACATCTACATACATGTACATGTACCTCTGTAATACGCTGAACATTAACTGTTGCATTGAAATGCATGAAAACTCAAGACTGACTGAAGATGGCTTCCTTATGTGTGGTGTGACGCAAAATTTAAGTTTTAATGTCACTGCCGATAGAGTATTTCAAATAGTCTCGTGTTGCATGAAATTAGGCCAAAAAGTAGTTGGACAAAACATACTAGCAGGATCAAGTTCAATCTACCGTAACCAGCTTGTGATAAATGTACATGTACCCCACGGTAGGACTAGGCAACATAACGTGTAAGAACTCACTCTCATACTGGTACATGTAGTTTAAATGTCAAAAGGACAAAAACAGAGTGAAAACACCAATAGGATTTCGCTTTGGGGACTTTTATAACAATGCCTTCAGACATTTTGTCTGACCACATCTCCATTTTGGTGTGACAAATACCGTGAATAAAGTTGTGAGAAAACGGCAGACGTACAGGGTGTGACTAATTGTATGCTCTGGTTTCCATATGCACATGAAAGCGTATATGGCATTTGGCTTAATGATCAGGAAAATGTCAACTGTTAAACGTTTAACGTATGCTATTTCTCCTGTGCAAAAGTGCATGTACGGTTACTTCTGGAAACTTTGATGAAGGAGACAGTTGGATGTGGTAACACAGAGATGCAGTGTAAAAACTTCTACCAAGTCAGGTGAAGGAAATACAAAACCCTTTTTACATCTTTCCTACAGATATTTAGAGTAGTTGAGTTGATATCAAATCACATTTGGATTCTCTTGTTGCCATGGCAACTTATGCCCAACTACATTGCATACTTTACGTTGTACATGTTTTTGGCCACAGGTACAAAAGGCGTGGACCTTGGCATTGGCGGTGTGTTGTAGGAACTCACAAGCATTGGGAAGGGGAGGGTGTACCAACTACTGAATATGGATGATTCATTACATGAATGATGGGACTTGTTCTGGGCCATCCTCTTGTTGTCCGTGTGTGTCATTGGTTTCCAACTTGTGTCTTCATTTTCTGATTCATTTTTCCCTTTGATGGGGAATTCGTATCCTTGAAATGTCAGAAATATGAAATATGTACGTATACTTGTGGCACACCATACGTGTATGACTACATTAATTGTGTAATATTAGTTGGGTTAACAAAATCGAAAAAGTCGGGAAATCAAAAAAAAAGTTTGACCTATTACATGTACATCTCTTTGCATTATTTTGAAAAAAAAAAACAATCAACTTCATTTCATGAAATGTTGGCCTGGTTTTCAGCAAAGCGTCATTCATTAGTTTGGAACAGAACCAATAAGTTGCCATATTTATTCGGTCAGATAATTTGGCTCGATCACATACAAATTTTACAAAACTTTTACAAAATGGGTACATAAATGTACAATGAAATTATTGCATATGTACCGGTACGAGGGGAAAACACCCAACCAAAATTGAGCCCCACAAGATTACCCCAAGCTGATGTCTACGACTACAACCAGTCGCACAGGCTTTGCTTGGTTATCATGCACTCTGACATTTAGTCTTAGCGGTGGGCTAGGCGTGCTTACTTTCCTGGCCGTCTGCATTACTAACACATCGGTGCTTTGAAGCTCCTCGAGACTGACATTAAATGAATCGATGTAGCCAGTAAATAACAGCAACTGTCTGTGGCTCTCAAGCAGATTTTTGGGGCAGGTAAATCCAGGGTTTGTTACTTCAAATGTACATGTTGTCGTGTATAAAAATTGTTATTCTTATTTTGTTTGGCGAGGGATGTTAATACTGGTGTCTGCCACCGTACATTGGAATTAGTGCTTTTGATACGAGTGCTAAACACAAAAAGGAATAAAATACATGTATAATTATAGGGGCCTTACCATGCCATCAAATCTATCTTACATGTAAGACATTTTTGTGTCCCTGTTACATCTGACCTTTGCTATTTGACAAGGAAATATCACCAGAGTTGATTGCAAACTATTACTATTTGTTTGGCAGGTAATTTGCACTAATTCATCACTCTTGGAAATTAGAAAATGTGTTCGGAACTTACAAAAAATCATATGCAAGATGTGACAGGGACACAGGAAAAAATGGGCCCCTGATCTCTGGAATTACCCACATAATTGTCCTGTGCTATACTTGAATGTATGATAAATACATACCTGTGCTTATAGCGTACCCTGTTAACTCCAAACAATTCACATGAGTTTTTTTCATCTACTGGTACCTTTTTACCCAGTTGAAGGCAGCATTATTCAAATTGGTTGGTTTTAAACTGATAGTCAGTCTGTCAATTGTCATTATTCCGGTACTTGCTTACATTTAGTTTGGATAATCCAAAACCACTTTTCACCAAATGAAGGCTTCCTTTCAAGAATGTCTAGAAAGTACATTTATGTACCAAATAAACCCTGATTGACAAAATTCAAATACAAAAATCTAAAAGAAGTGGAATAGAAAAGCAAGTATAGCCTTCATGTGACTGCATATTGTGCATGTACACTGATGAAAATGTTCAAAGACTTCAGCTCTGGAAAGTCCCGAATGATTGAAGCTACCAGTACTACCATTAATAGAAACAAATACATGTACTGTCGCTTCGTTACAAAACAAAAAGACAATCTCTAGAGACGGACCACAAAAGCTTGTTTTTCCCCCATTTTTGTTGAGTATTGTTGGCTGGTCAGGGTTTGAAGGAAAGGCTGGGTATGCATTAACACTAAACAGTCATCCAGTTGAAATCACAGTCAAAAAGGAAATGGCTTACTTACTGAAGAAACAATCTTAAGCAGGTCCAGTCCCAACCCTGTAGAGATTTTTCTGGTTATCAGGATCACTGATCCAAAAAATACATCATAATCAAGAGTATAGATTGATATATGCAGTACTGTGCACATGAGTGTGCAGCTTAAAAGGACTACTTGAGCTGTGTATATGCACATGCAGGGTTAAAAGATTGCCCTTTTCAGTCGCAACTAATTGAGCTCATGGACACATGAATATGCCTGATATATGCAAAACTTAAAGGCAGAATATCATAATTTCAACACAAAGAGCTTTGATCATATACATGTGAAGGTAGGTCCTTATATATGAAATTT